ATCTATCTATCTATCTATCTATCTATCTGTCATCTATATTTATCTATCTGTCTATCTATCTACTGTCTGTCTGTCTGTCATCTATATTTATCTGTCTGTCTATCATCTATATCTATCTATCTATCTATCTGTCTGTCTGTCTATCTATCTATCTATCTGTCTGTCTGTCTGTCTGTCTGTCTGTCATCTGTCTGTCTGTCTGTCTGTCTGTCATCTATCTGTCTCTCTGTCTGTCTGTCATCTATCATCTGTCTGTCTGTCTGTCTATCTATCATCTGTCTGTTTGTCTGTCTATCTATCTATCTATCTATCTATCTATCTATCTATCTATCTATCTATCTATCTATCTATCTATCTATCTATCTATCTATCTATCTATCTATCTATCTATCTATCTATCTATCTGTCTGTCTGTCTATCTATCATCTGTCTGTTTGTCTGTCTATCTATCTATCTATCTATCTATCTATCTAACACTGTAAACTGTGTTCTTTGCTGATTTTTCTTCAAATGTGCTGTGAAATCTATTTTCGTGGACTGAAATATATGAAGAGCTAAATATGTATTTTAAATGCTTAAAATTTTTTACATATATTTTCAAAAACATGGCCAACAAATATATTGGTAGAACATGCATTTCCATAAATAAATATATATATATTTGAAATATATTTCTAAATGATATTTTTCTGACCTCATTGGCAGATTTTTGTTTTTGTTTCAAGCATAAACTCATTTAATTTAGCTATATTTTTTTTTAGAAAAAAAGTCTTCATATCTGGAGTAATTGTGCTTCTCAAGTAAATGTATCTTGATTTATTTAGATATTTATACTTGAAAACAAGAAAGAAATCGGAGTAAGAAGCTCATGTTCTGCAGTATGTGAGGATGTTGCTGTGTGTTTGGCTCACATACGGTTTGTCTGTTCCTCAGCATGAAGGCAGAGCCTGTCTATCATCTATCTATCATCTATCTATATCTGTCTGTCTATCTATATCTGTCTGTCTCTCTGTCTGTCTGTCCATCATCTATATCTGTCTGTCTATCTATCTATATCGATCTATCTGTCTATCTATCTATTACTGTAAAATATGTTCTTTGCTGATTTTTCTGCAAATGTGCTGTGAAATCTATTTTCGTGGACTGAAATATATGAAGAGCTAAAAATATATATTTTAAATGCTTTAAAAAAAAATAACTATATATTTTCAAAAACATGGCCAACAAATATATTGGTAGAACATGCTTTTCCATAAATATATATTTGAAATATTTTTTGTATATTTTGAAATATATTTCTAAATTATATTTTTCTGACCTAATTGGTAGATTCTTGTTTCAAGCATAAACTCATTTAATTTAGCTATATTTTTTTAGAAAACAATTCTTCATATCTGGAGTAATTGTGCTTCTCAAGTAAATGTATCTTGATTTATTTAGATATTTATACTTGAAAACAAGAAAGAAATCGGAGTAAGAAGCTCATGTTCTGCAGTATGTGAGGATGTTGCTGTGTGTTTGGCTCACATACGGTTTGTCTGTTCCTCAGCATGAAGGCAGAGCGGATCGGCGTTGATATTCCCGTGTATGACCTCTCTCTGATCCGAGATCTGTGGGAGGGACGCGTGAAGAAACACAAGCAGCGACAGAAGAAGGAGGAAGAGCGGATCAGTCAAAGTGCTCTGGCCAGGTGAGGAAGAGGAGCATGAAGTCTAGAAAAGAGCAGGACTGTGCTGTTCTGAGATTAAATTAAACTCACAAACACACCTAATCAAGATAACATGATCGTTACACACAGCTGTGTTTGATCTGGACTGGAACTAAACTCTGGGGCCAGTTGTTCAAAAGTAATCCGATCGGATTCTGGCCATCGGATTGGATCAAATCTTGAAAATGGGTTGTTCAAAGGATTCTGAATTCAGATTAGATCACAAAATCCAATCTTGGTTTTGATCCCGATTAAATCCTCAGTGTTGTTCAAAACGTTTTAGTAAGATTGGGATACTTCTGATCCGCCAAAAAAACTGGATTGTTCTGATCCCAGCAGAAGGGTGGATTTCAGGAACAAAAATGTAATAAAACTTTAAAACTTGTCCAAAAAATGCAACATTTGTAACATGTATCCCCAAACAGCTGTCAATATCAAACAAAAATGTTACATTTAATTTTAATCACTGATTGTAAACTACATTGGCACAATCATCAGAGATGGAGCAGTCAGAAGTAGTTAAGTGTGTAAATGCAATGCAAAATGCAAAACATTGGCATTTTGTTCTCCATCAGCATGTCCCTTTAGGGGCTCCGTAGAGCTCTAGTAATCCAGATTTGGAAATCTGGAAAAGTGTGTATCTGGATCAGGGAGATCCAATCCAGTTTTGCTTTGAAAAACCGGCACTAAAGTCAAATGGGTTATTTCCGAATCCAGATCATTCTGATCCAGATGAAACTTTCTGAACAACTGGCTCCAGGTCATGGCCTTTCAGCATGGGGACTGAACAGCCCTGCTCTAGAGAAACCGCTGATGTTGCCGTTAAAAAGCAAACTATCAGGCGATGTTTGTTTGCAGGGTGAATCAGCAGTGGCAGTATCGCATTGCATGCAGAAAGCTGAAGAGCGCCGAGGTCGCGGCGCTGCAGTGTTATCTGGAGAGATCAGCGCTCAGAGAAATACACCTCCTGCCCACCGATAACAAGGGTATCTTTATTAACCCAAACACTTTCAGTCATTACATCACCTGATCAAATAGATGCATTTACAATAATTTCAGAATAAGTCTAGTCTAAGCTCACAAACTCAAACAGGGGCTCTCAAATGTTTTTGTTTGCCGAATACCTTTGATCTAAAATATTTACCCCTTTTGAGATTTATATAATTTCAATTTATAATCATTTCAATAATATAATAGCAAATTTGCATGCATTGTTAATGGTCGCATGACATGCGGGTAAACAAGTATTTCAAGTATAGCAAGTATTTCATCTTTATTATTTAGTATTATTTTATTATTATTGTTTTAAGTTTAAAGAAATATTTATTTATTTTAACATGACATTTTTTAGCTCTTTGATGATGTTTAATGGTCACATGATATGTAGATAAACATAAAATATTCATGTTTAATTTTATTATTATTAATTATTTTTGTATGATTCCATTATTATTTTAAAGTAAAATGTCGGTAGATGGTCACATTACATGTAGGTAAACATAAAATATTTCATATTTGTAAGTAAATGTTTTTTGTTTATTATTTTTGTATTATTTTACTATTATTGTTTTAAGTTTAAATGAAATATTTTTATTTATTTTGTTTTAATATTTCATTTTTAGTTCTCTGATGTTGGTCACATGATATGTAGGTGTAAATATACATGTAAACATAATTGTTTAATTTTATTATTATTGTTTTGAGTTTAAATAAAACATTTTTGTTTAATTTTACTATCACATTTTTAGTTCTCTGTAAGAGAGCATAAACAGGATTTTTGAATTTTATTATTTTACATTTGTATTGTTTAATTCATTTATTATATTTCTTAATGCTGACGAAATAAATTAACAAAAAGAAAAACAAATAACAAGAACAGACAATATCAGATAATAGTTAACATGAAGGAATTGTCCATGTATTTGACCCATATTTTGAATCACACATTGCATTGTGTTACAATTTAAAGGAAATATTAGTAAACTTAACAGATAATGCACCAATATCTTATCAGTTTTTCTACAGATTTTTTCTTATATTTTAGTTGATCTTCTAGCATATGCAATGAATTTTCTACTTCATTGTGTGTGTAATTTTCATTTGTTAAACCTCCTGAAACAATATTCCTGTTGAGACTCAATGAATCTGACCTCTGACTGTCTGTGTCTCTCATCCAGACAATGACGCAGACAACAAGAAGTTCATTTTTGAGCTGAATGGGAAAAAATGGATGGTAGCCATCTGATAATGCTTTTTCAAAGATGTTTTTCGAATGCATTTGTACCGTGCGTGATCCAGCTATGACTGTGATCTGCAGAAATTACCTGAAGAGCTTCAGTATATGACTTATCTCAAGGAATGGCACATCCACGGGACCAGGATTCCCGAGATTCCCACTTACATTGAGGCGTTTGTGGATCTGCAAGTGCTGGACGTCCCAAAAAATGGACTGACTAGGCTTCCTACTGAAATAGGTCAGAGTCACCAAACCTGAAATACTAAAATCATAACTCCACATCTGTGACCCTGGAGCACAAAACCACTCATAAGAATCAATTTGGTGAAATTGAGATTGATCATGCATCTGAAAGCTGAATAAATAAGCTTTGCATTGATGTATGGTTTGTTAGGATCGGACAATATTTGAAAATCTGGAATCTGAGGGTGCAAAAAAATCTAAATATTGAGAAAATCATCTTTAAAGTTGTTCAAATGAAGTTCTTAGCAATGCATATTACTAATCAAACATTACGTTTTGATATATTTACGGTAGGAAATTTACTAAATATCTTCATGGAACATGATCTTTACTTAATATCCTAATGATTTTTGGCATAAAAGAGAAATGTATAATTGTGACCCATACAATGTATTGTTGGCTATTGCTACAAATATCCCCCAGCGACTTAACACTGCTTTTGTGCTCCAGGGTCACAGAAATCCAACGCAAATGTCTCATCTTTCACAGGGAAACTGATCAACCTGAAGGAATTAAATGTGAATTATAATAAACTGTTAAGCATTCCACCTGAACTCGGAGAATGTGAGCATCTGGAACGATTAGAGATGACGGCGAACAGAAACCTGGCCGAGCTTCCCTTTGAGGTGCGACAAGATGATCAGACACCATTTGAAATGTTCCTATGCATGAAATCCTTCACAAACCACACATTTTTGTCTGTGTTATTCGTTTTCCAGCTGAGTAATCTAAAGAAGTTGACGCACTTGGACGTGGCAGAGAATCAGTTTGCCAGTATTCCTGTCTGCGTGCTTCGCATGGAAAGCCTGAAGTGTTTGGATATCAGCAACAACAGACTCAAAGACCTGCCGGAGGACATCGACAGGTGTGTGTTTACAGCATTTCTGTTCATAATCATCTGTTCATCAAGTGCAGTGTTGGGGAAAGTTACTTTTAAAAGTAATGCATTACAATGTTGCGTTACTCCTTAAAAAAGTAACTAATTACGTTACTTAGTTACTTTATATGGAAAGTAATGCGCTACACTGCAAAAAATGATTCTCTTGCTTAGTGTTAGTGTCTTGTGTTCTAGTATAAATATCTAAACATTCTTGAATCAAGATGCATTTACTGTACGAGTGAAATGATTTAAGATAGTAAGTCTTGTTTCGTAAAAACAAAATCAAAATTTTGTTCGTTTTTGCTTAAAACAAGCAAAAATATCTGAGTAAGTCTTGTTTCGTAAAAACAAATAATCAAAATTTTGTTCGTTTTTGCTTAAAACAAGCAAAAATATCTGACAATGTAAGAAAAATAATCTTAATTCAAAGGCTACACAAGATTATTTTTCTTGCTCCATTAGCAGATATTTTTGCTCGTTTTAAGCAAAAACGAACAACATTTTTATATAATTTTTTTTTTTACAGAAAACAAGACATAATATCTTAAGTTGTTTAACTTGTACAGTAAATTCATCTTGATTCAAGAATGTTTAGATATTTATAGCAAGACAAAAACACTAAGTAAGAGAATCATTGTTTGCAGTGTACGATACCTTTGCGTTACTTTTTAAATCTGAGCAGGGCTTGCTTGTTTGTTTTTATTATAAAGAGTTATATTTTTAGCAAATGTAAAAGCCCTTTCACATTTAAAAGTGAAAGGAATAAGCCTCAGGCTGAAGGGAAAGTAAATTCACGTCTGTACAGTAGAACACAGGAGAAGAACACACTTTAGCAATAAAAAAAAAGACAGAAGCACAAATGTTAGTGTATCTAAAGTCATTTTTGCTAATTAGTATGTTTGAACTGGATCATCAAAGGTCAGCAGCAAAGACATTGGTTAATAAAGTGGGTTTAAATATATAAAGGATATTTGTGTTATTGAACATATTTAGTTATTGCAGAGTTGCCTCATATTCTGAGTTTCACTGTTTTAATTCATTTTGATGAATACTGAATCTGTCCCTCATCAGGCTTGAGTCATTAGAGATGCTGTTCCTTCACAAAAACAACGTGCGATACGTGCCGATGACCGTGACGAACCTCATCCATCTGAGGATGCTGGTCATCAGCGCAGACGAACTGTACAGCATCCCGTCGCAATTAGTTGACAATCCTAACATCAAGTAAGTGTGAACCCTACGGAGCAAGTGATGAGCCACATGGTGATGGAAAAAACATGAGATGGAAGGAAAATCTTTGTTTTAACCCTAAAAATGGCAAGACCATAAAGAGGCATCAGAAAATGTATTTATTGCTATTTTCCATCTTATTGGGACACAAATAATACAACTTGATCATTTTTTTCAAAACATGGCAAAACATGTTTGTATCCCACAGGATACATTGCCAGTTTGGGGGTATTAATTAACTGAAAACAGAACACTTGTTTATCAATGCTTGTTACAACATGGCTGTAATTCCAGGTTACTGCTGAAGTGAAGCATTTCAAAAATAAGTTATAAACGTTTAAGTTTGCAGTAAAGATAATGTCGTTTTAAATTGTATATAAAATAAATACTTTATAAAATATGTTGCATTTCAAATTGCTATAAAATCTAAGCCATGTGTCTAACCAAGTTATGCTCCAAATTTGAAGTTGATATCACCAAAATTGTGGTTCCTGTGAGATTTTGTTTGGGCGCTATACCAAAAATAACCACTGGGTGACACCCAAACTCTAGTGAATTCTTTTGATTCAGTTTTCTGTCCCAAATCAATAATTTTCTGTCACAATATCACTTCTATTACAAAACAGTCACCAAATATGGAGCCTTGACTGTCAGACATTTCCAACGATATGTGTTTTGTCGAGATTACAAAAAGATTTGATTTTCTAAAACACAAGCTACAAAATCACAGAGTCTATATATATATATATATATATATGTAAGGTCCGCGCACCTGGCCCAAGGAAGGTACCCAGTGGCGGATGAAGGTCTCTTGCGTGTTCGGTCTTTTCAGCGAAGAGCGATGTATCCCCGGAGATACAAACATTTAGAGACAGATGTAAGCATTAAAGCATTTAATTCATAAAATTTCAATGTAAACCTAATAAGCTAATGCTGACCAACAGCTTTTTAATCAGGTAAGTCCCCTCCAACGTGTGAATATGTGAGCTAGATCAACTTTTATCGGAGGGTGAGTAGATTTCCCATGAAAGGTGGCCATGCCGTTTTAAATGCTGCCCGTGAGCTAAACAAGGAATGTATGAACAAAGTCAATTTTTCTAAATATTCACAAACCAAGAAACAGTACACATTCCCCGCCTCTCTCCACACAGCCTCTCAAATGTTTGTATCCCACAGGATACGTTGCCAGTTTTAGGGTTAAACCGTTCACCGGGAAATGCTCTGTTTGCTCACGAAACATTTTAATTCTCTTGAAAATCTTCTGTTTCGCTAATAACCTTTGCGCTCGCTTGCAAAACCTGTGCATTCGCTCGCAAAACTATCGCGTTGCCCTGAGAAACTTTGCGTTTGTTTTCAAAATATTTGGGTTCTCTTGTAAAACTATTGCATTTCTGAAATTTAGTGTTCTTTCGCGTACTATTTCCTCTGAGAAGCATTGTGCTCATTCCCGAAACTATTGTGTTCCTCTGAGAAACTTCACGTTCGCTTTCAAAACATTTGAGTTCTCTTGTAAAACTACTTTGTGTTAGTTCGCAAACTACTGCGTTCCCCCGAGATACTTTGTGTTAGTTCGCAAACTATTGCGTTTCCCCAAGATACTTTGTGATAGTTTGCAAACTATTGCGTTCCCGACACTTTGTGTTAGTTCGCAAACTATCGTGTTTCCCCAAGATACTTTGTGTTAGTTCGCAAACTATTGCGTTCCCCCGAGATACTTTGTGTTAGTGCGCAAACTATCGCGTTTCCCCGAGATACTTTGTGTTAGTTCGCAAACTATTGCGTTCCCCCGAGATACTTTGTGTTAGTTCGCAAACTATTGCGTTCTCGACACTTTGTGTTAGTTCTCAAACTATTGCGTTCCCCCGAGATACTTTGCATTTGCTTGCAAAACATTTGTGTTCTCTTGTAAAAGTATTGCGTTCCCGAAACTCTTTGCTCATTCGCAAAACAATTGCGTTCCTCCGAGACACTTTGCATTCTTGCAAAACAATTGTTCTCTTTGTGTTTTCCCAGAGACATTGTTCATTCGCGAAACTATTGCGTTCCTCTGACAAACTTCACGTTCACTTGCAAAACATTTATGTTCTCTTGTAAAACTACTGCGTTCAACCGAGAAACTTTGTGTTTGTTCGCCAAACTATTGGGTTCCCCTGAGAACCCTGCTGAAAAAAACAATAGAAACCACATAATTTGTAATGGTTGTACTGATTATAATGGGAATTGTATTGGTTTTAATGGAAACTGTAATGGACCCTGTTGGTCTCCTTCTATTGGTGGCTTGTTAAAACCACTAAATCTAATAGTGTCCCAAAACACACTACAGGAAACCATTTTTAATGGTTTTAATGGTTAAAAGTTGATGGTTTGTAATGTTTGTAATGGTATTTGTAGTGACTATTGGGTTCCCTTGAGAACCCTGCTGAAAAAAACAATAGAAACCACATAATTTGTAATGGTTGTACTGGTTATAATGGGAATTGTATTGGTTTTAATGGAAACTGTAATGGACCCTGTTGGTCTCCTTCTATTGGTGGCTTGTTAAAACCACTAAATCTAATAGTGTCCCAAAACACACTACAGGAAACCATTTTTAATGGTTTTAATGGTTAAAAGTTGATGGTTTGTAATGTTTGTAATGGTATTTGTAGTGGAAAACATTAGAATTTATGTGATGGCTTCTATTGTTTTTTTCAGCAGGAAAAATGAGCATCTGTGTTCTTTCGCAAAACTGTCCTATTCCCCTAAAAAATGTGCATTCAGTCACAAAACATTTGCATTTCCCAAAGACACTTTGCTTTCTCTAGTAAACGCTTGCGTTCACCCGAGAAACTTGTGATCGGTCACAAAACATGCATTTCTCAGAGAAACTTTGCATTCACTCACAAAACATTTGCATTCTCTCAATGCAAGTCAAACTTTGTGTTGACTTGCAAAACATTTAATTAGAATTTTTCCTCCATCTCTTTATTTTTTTTTTTGCAATCTGAGAATAAAACATGAGCAGCTGCATGCTGTCTGTCCAAACCCCTAAAAACACTCCATAAAGCGCTGATCTACTGTCTTTCTGTTTCAGATTAATCCGATTATATGACAATCCAATAAATACTGACAATGAAGACATGAACGAGATAGACGCAGAAGCTCAGGACGAGCGTGACAAGGAGTTCATGAAGACGTACATCGAGACTCTTCAAGACAGAGGTGAAAACGATGAATGCTGATAAATCCATGGATTTAAATTAAATATGAACTAAGGATGCAGAAAAAATGCATCATTATAATTTATTATTTTAGATTTTAATTCTAATTTGTCAACAAAAAAAAATTTGTGTAAATTGAAAAGGAGTCAGTTCTAAAACGCTGATTTTCTTAAGTTATAAAATAAAACACTGATTATTGGAGTACTTTTTACAAGAACATACTATTCCAGTCTTTCTACTTGAAAACGGCATGCTTAATTCAATGTGTTACATGCCGTTTCTTTGTAATTATAAGTGATATTTACTAGCAGTTTCAAAGTAAATGCAAAGCCATTTTTTTCAGTGCATCATTCAGTAATCATACAGAACTTTAAATACATTTGGAAACAGTTTGTGCATCATTTGCAGATGTTAGGCTTTAACTAAATGTTCCTCTTTTTCAGACACTCAGCCGTCATACACCACTAAAGTCTCCCTCAGCTGCCTGCTGTAGAACCAGATGACTCTAAATATGACACAATCATCTGCTGCAGAATGACACCGAATGAAATCAGTGTTTTAAATGCTTCCACTGGAGTCTATTTATTAGTTTTCTCATTCCAAGTTCAATTAAAACTGAAAAGCAGGTTACACTGGATGATAAGCTGTTAGTATCTAAAGGGTTTGGGTTTCTTCTCTAGCAGCGTTTACTATTATTTAAGAAAAACAGCTGGGAGTTTGTAGGCTTGAAGTTCATAGTTTCCTTTAAACTAGTTAAAATCTGATCCCAAACCCATTTTGATTTGGTTTTCTGTGAAGATTTACATCGTTTAGTTTGTTTGATGTGACCAAACGTTTCACAGCATGCTGATAATGATTTTTTCTGTCTGCGAGTCAATGTTTTATAAGAGAGTCATTTTAATTTATTGCAATTAAATAAATCAAAATTTCAATTTCCTATTTTACCTTCAGCGATAAATATGACATGCAAACACTTGCACTTCTCTGTCAATGGGAAAAAATATAAATCCAATCATGCAATATGAAGCGGTTTATTGAAACATCAAAGAATAGCTCAACGAACAAATGTCTCAGCAAACGAATGCTTAATGTGCATCGAATGCATCAATAAAATCTCATCAGTAGGCATCTACAAACCAGTCTTCAAGAAATGGCTGCATAGACATGAAGAATGGCACCTAGAGCCGAAACATCATTAAAAAACAAAGTGCAGTTCATTGGAAAACACCTAATATGACATTAGTTGAGTGGGGCTAAGACCTTCTGGAGTCAGTGTGCATTGATCTACAGCACCGATTGCATAAATAGAGTAACATCTACATCATTTTCAAGTATGCATCATAATCAGAATTGGCAACTGAAATGTGCTGCTTAAATACATCAAAGTACACGATGAAGCAGAAGTCGTCATGGATTTAGGCTGTTATTGCTGCAGTGTGTTACATGATAAAATGCAATCACTCAGATAATCTGATGCTAACCGAGTCGTGACCAAAATTTGTTTTACTCTGCTTCTAACATGCAAAAAAACGAAAATAAAATAACATAAAAGCCAGTAAGAATTCAGTTAGCAAGCAATGATAAATCAGTAAAGCTGCTTTAAAAAACAAAACACTTGATTAGGTCCTCTGGAAATTTACTGGACAGCACAGAAACATTAAATAAATGCCTTACAGGAATAATTCAGCCTAACAATAAAATGTGTTCACCCTCAGGATCATCCGAGATCAGGATGAGTTTGTTTCTTCATCATGTTTGTAGAAATGTAGCATTGCATCAGTGTCTCGCTGCAAGTGAATGGGTGCCGTCAGAATGAGTCCAAACAGCTGATAAAAACATCACAATAATCCACAGCACTCCAGTCCATCAGTTAACATCTGGAGAAGACAAAAGCTGAAACTAATCCAGCATTAAGACGTTTTTAACTCAAATACCATAGAGTCTATAATCTATAATAACTCTTCCTCCAGTGAAAAAGTGCATCTGCTGTTGTCTCTCGCATCAAAATCCAGCCACATATGTGTTTAGAGCTGTTTAAACGCTGCTTGATCTGTGCAGATTTCTCTCCTGATTCACACCAGAACACTGACTCACTGGAGGAAGCGTTATTATGGATTATGGACTCAATGGTATTTTAGTTAAAAGCGTCTTAATGCTGGATTTGTTTCAGCTTTTGTCTTCTCCAGATGTTAGCTGATGGACTGGAGTGCTGTGGATTATTGTGATGCTTTTATCAGCTGTTTGGACTCTCATTCTGACGGCACCCATTCACTTGCAGCGAGACACTGATGCAGTGCTACATTTCTCCAAACCTGATGAAGAAACACACTCATCCTGATCTCGGACGACCTGAGGGTGAACACATTTTCATTTTTAGCTGAACGATACTCAAGTATAATCAAGTCTGTGTGTAATTGTGAGGTAGCAGCTCTGTGCTGAGTAGCTGGTGCTCATTTACGAGTTACAGATTAAATACATTTTCTTCGTAATAATTCATCTATCAAAGCTGCACCTGACCTAAAGACAATGATTATGTCTGTTTTGTGCGATAAAAGATGCTCTGGCTGTACGTGCAATGCGTGTTTAAATGCTCTTAACTAACTTTGCCACTAGGACATTATTATTACTGCAGTCTGTACAAGTTTAGCGCAGAGGTTAAAGTTCATCAGTAATATAATAAAGGACTACAGTTTACGTTCAGATACACGGCAGCTACACTGCAAAAATCATTTTTTACTTAGTATTTTTGTCTTGTTTTCCAGTACAAATGTCTAAAGATGCTTAAACTTAGACACATTTCCTTGAGAAGCGAAATGACTGAAGATATTCTCAGTCTTAAGTCTTACTTTCTGAAAAATGCATCAAAATTAAGTTTGTTTATTCTTAAAGCAAGAACAGAAATTGCTAAAATTCTTGATTCAAAGGGAAAACGAGACAGATTTTTCTGACCCCATTAGCAGCTTTTTTTTCTTGTTTTAAGCATTAATTTCTCAAAATCAAGATTTGATAAGTTATTTCGCTTCTTCAGTAAACGTATCTTGATTTAAGGATGTTTAGATACGAAGCAAGACAAAAATACTGAGAACACTGCAAAAAAAGTGTTTACAATTTTTTATATATATTTTTTTTTTTACAGAAATCAAGACGTAATATCTTAAATCATTTTACTCGTGCAGTAAATGCATCTTGATTCAAGAATGTTTAGATATTTATACTAGAACACAAGACACTAAGTAAGAGAATCATGTTTTGCAGTGCAAGCCAAAATATGGTGAAGGCACATTCTCTTTCAAAGACTGAAGGATATAAAAAAAATAAAAAAAAAAGAAAAGAAAAGACAGATGTTTAGACATTCAGTAAAAGGCTTTGTCAGACACGCTGCTGGAATAAAACCCAAACCAGAGGAGTTTCCTCCTGGGCTTATAAACTGCTGTCCTGTAAAAGAGGCTCGTTGTCTTCGTCGCTCACAGGAACCGATCCGTTCTCCGTGACGCCGCTCGCAGACTCCGTCTTCAGCGCTGGAGCGTGTTGAGCGGGAATGAAAACCGCCACCAGCAGAGCCAGAAGAACCGAACACGCGCCAAAGAGGAAGGGAGGGCCAGGAATCACACGCTTCTGAAAGACCGAAGACACACGCTGTACAGAAAGCAGGCTTCCTACACATTTCCCAGTAGATTTTCAGACCATGTTTAACATAAATGGTCCACAGAGCATTAATTCCAGCATTATATGTGACCCTGGAGCACAAAACCAGTCATAAGGGTCCATTTTTGGAAATTGAGATGCATGCATCATCTGAAAGCTGAATAAATAGCTTTGCATTGATGTATGGTTTGTTAGGATAGAACAATATTTGAAAATCTGGAATCTGAGGGTGCAAAAAATCTAAATATTGAGAAAATCATCTTTAAAGTTGTTCAAATGAAGTTCTTAGCAATGCATATTACTAATCAAACATTAAGTTTTTATATATTTACAGTAGGAAATTTACAAAATATCTTCATGGAACATGATCTTTACTTAATATCCTAATGATTTTTGGCATAAAAGAGAAATGTATAATTGTGACCCATACAATGTATTGTTGGCTATTGCTACAAATATACCCCAGCGACTTAACACTGCTTTTGTGCTGCAGGGTCACATATTTGGTATATAATACAGTCATCTGTAAATGACACCTCTAAGTGTCATTAACATACAGAGCCCCTAAAACAAAAGGTCATTTACATGCACACAAGAACTTTTTTTTGCATGCTTACACAGTTTTATATAGCCTATTTCCTTCGTGCATCACTGCCATCTTACTATGAATAAAACAAGAGCATGGATGCACATGAATTAGTACAAATCTACTAGCTCAAATTTGGTCTTTTCTTATGGCAGAACCTCTGATATCAAGGCCTAATGTCCAATTTAACACATCCTCCGTGGCGATGGAGAAACCATGACACAACATGGGCTGAACATGACAGTTCAAGGGTTTATAAAAAAGACTGGTACTGTAAAAAAAAAAAAAAGTGCCCTTTTGTTAGGGCAGTTTGCCATATTTCAAGGTCTTAGGTCTCTTTAATGCATGCTTTGTGGAGGCCAAGAAATCACAACAGGTGGCTCAGTGTGCATTGTCCTATATACAAAGTTAAATAATTTCTCGTGTGCACATAAAAGTCTGTATATATTTTATTTTTGAGGCTATGTAATATGGTGCTAAGAATATTGTGAGAAGAAACCCAAAATGCTTATAACCTTCATTTTGCATAATGCAAAAGTCGTATTTTGACTTTGACGTCTTGTACAATAAATTTATTTTCATTAAATTCTTAATTTTCTATTATTAAAAAAAAAAACTAAATAGGAGCATAAGTCTGGAAACACAAATACTTCTCCATACTTTTTTTTGCATACTTTTCCAGACCCTGTAGGAACCCTGAGAAAGACACAGAGAGTGATTACGTTCTCTTGTACCTCTTCAGTGTCCGGCGTGACGGGGTAATGCAGTATTTCAGATTAAAATAGAGACTAGGCTTTTAAAATAAAATTCTTGAAGGCAGAATAGCACCTCCTGGTGAGAGCAAAAAAAAGAAAAACATGTAATTTCATGGTGTAACTACTAGATTCCTGTATAGGACTATATAGAGAGGCTTGTGAATTCCCTAGTTGTTTTTATACATAATTGTTTACTTTTATTAGGTTGTGGATTTAAATGTATATTAAGGCATTCTCAAAGACTACTTTTTGTCAAGGTTTATATTTTTTGTTGTTTTAAATGTTGATTTGAAGTGTAGGTTTTTGCATTATTATTACTACATTCAAACCTGAACACAGAAAGCATTTTGTTACACAAAACATTAAAATTCTATAAAAATGTAACAAGAATGAACAGGAACGCTTTATCAGAGCTTAATCCTTCTGGGTCTGATCTGATCTGATCTTAACCTCTTATTTCAGTTTTCTGACTCATTTTGGCTATATGGTTATAGCCATACCAATTCATTTGA